TCTTCCCCACTCACCATCACCTTCGTGTTACCAATACTAACTTTTAACCCTTTCTTTTCGATAACACTTTTCCATCTGTCAAATTTTAACTGCATATCTATCAGCCATCAAGACTAAATCATCTACCTACAAAATCTCAAATCTCCCCTTCCGACCCCCACCTTTGTCTCCACCCCTTCATACAGCTGCATCACAGCTTTAACAAGTCTCTCATACACTCCTTTCTTCCTCAACGCCCATTCAATGACCTTCCTCAGTACTCGATTAAAAGTCTTTTCTAGATCCACAAAACACATATACAATCTTCGTTTCTGTTCTTGATTTTAATAAGTTTTTCTTTAATTCTCCTGCAACATTCTAACTATGAACAACGCATCCACCATTCCCCTACCAGGCATAAACCCACGATGCATTTCATTAACTGTCACCATATTTTTCAACCTCCTCTCAAGCACCCTCTTCACTACCTTCATTCCATGCTCTATCAATTTCACACCCCTATATGACACACAATCTCTCACATCTCTTTTGCCCTTATACAACGGCATCAACACACTGTGTCGCCAATCCTCAGGTATACCTTCATCATCAAACATACTGTTAGCAATTCTCATCATAACTTCAATTCCTATCACTCCACTCGTCTTTATATGTTCCGCCGCCACTTCCCAAACCCCTATCGCCTTACCTAGTTTTATTTCTCTAACTGCTTTCTCTATTTCCTCCATCGTCATCTTCTCTATGGGTCCGTGTGTGACCGCGGATTCCACATCTTCCCCCACTCATTCTCTTCATTCATCAACCTTTCCATATGGGCTTTCCACACCTGAGCTTTTTCCTCCTCATCTAGGCACAACTTGCCAGATCCATCCCAAACATATCCATTTTCTATAACATTTTCCTATCCTTCATTGACTGCTTTGCTACTTTTAACATTTTCCTCGAACTCACATCAAATTCCATTTTTCTCATTAACCTATCTGATGCTTTCGTCATTGCAGTTGCCACTGCCCGTTTTGCAACCTTCTTAGTCTTCCTATACTCAAACTCCGCTTCCCCGTCATGTCCCTTTTCCACACTCTAAACCTCTCCTTCTTGACCTCCAAAACCTTTCTTATATCTTACCCCCACCACGTTTCACCATGCCTACACTTTCCTTTCGTCCATCCACATACTTTATCTGCCGTAGTCAACACACAGTCCCTATATCTCTCCTAAACATCTCCATCCTTACCACTCTCCCAACTTTCAGCCACCTTCACTTCAAATGACCTCCTCACCTCTGCATCCTGTAACTTCCATGTCTTTCTCTTTGCCACAAACTTATCCTTTTTTCTTTTCCACATTTCTTTTGAAGCCACATCCATCACAACCATACTATGCTGCAACATACCAGGTATCGCCTTCACATCCCTTACATACTTTCTTTTCTCAATGATTTTCTCGACAATTTTCAGGGAGTGTTCTAACAGACGTATACCCCGATATGATGAACAGTTCAATGGATCACTTTGCTTTTGTATAGCGGGACTGTCATGCTATAGTTCCATTCAGTCGGCATTGAACAATTTCTCCAGATTTCACGGCAAAGTTGTAGTAACGTTTGGGTACCTGCAGTACCAGATGCTTTGATAATGTCATTTGTGAGTCCATCCTTCATAGCTTTCAGAGCTTCTGTAAGCTCCTCTACAGTGATGTCTGGAATCGGACCTTCGATGGGTGGAGCCTCAAAGTTGACATTGATGGGATTTGTTTCATTTAACAGACGTTTGAAGTATTCTCTCCACTGTAGCTTGATCTCATCTTGTTCAAGAACCATCTCATTTTTGTCGTTTTTGATTCACCAACTATGTCTTTTTTTGTACGCGTGGCTTGTTTCGCTATACGATACAGAGATTTTATTTGTTCACTTTTGCTTTTAGTTAGCTACTCTCTGCACTGATCTGTCCGAGCCAGTGCGACTTGACGTCTTGCATAGTTGTTCTTCTCACGGAAAATTTTGTTGTCGTCAACAGACTTTGATTTTTGCCATTGCTTGTATGCAGCTTTCTTTCCAGCTATTGCATTTTGTACACTGTCATTCCACCACAACGTGTCCCGTTCATGCTGGCGTTTTGTACCAGTTTTCCCACAAACTGTAGTTGCAGCGTTTACCAAAACGGTTTTGTATGGGGTATGTGATAGGAGAGTGAAGGCTAACTCGATATTGTGTATAGGATGTCAGAAATGGGTGCATAAGAAATGTAGTGGTGTGAGGGGGGCACTGAAAAAGGTGGAAGGCACGTTCAAATGTAAGAAATGTGTTCATGGTCTGATTAATAGGACGGACGCAAGGACGGGGTTGGGTGGTGGTATTGAAAGAGTGGAAAGCTTTGTTTACTTAGGGGATAAGCTGAATGCGGATGGAGGATGTTTGAGCGCAGTTACGGCTAGAGTTCGTGTGGGATGGATGAAATTTAGGGAACTGGGTGGGGTATTGTGTGGAA